ACAAGTCATCCTCTAAAGCACTTAAGATATAGCCTTTGCAAAGAAAATCTGCCTGCTTCCACGTCTCAACAATCATGAATTTTTCGTTGTCCGGCATGTCCGCAGCAGGCACTGGAGGTTCTTCCCTAGTGAATTTTTGCATACCAAGTGTGGTAAGCCAGAAGAACACCCTTTGCTGCCATCCTTTGAAGTTGGCTTCGAAAAATTTTCCCGGTTTCTCTGCCGGTGGAACAGCAGTCCGGCTTGACGAGGCTATCGTCGTTGCCGCAACAGTCGTAGAAGAATTTCCATTATCAATTGCCATTTCTCACTGTAAACAACAGAAGAGTTCAATTAATGGCAAAACCAGAACAGTAAACAATACTGTTATTAACAACAACCAGTATGTATAATAAATAAATCAAAGTTTTTATATACTGTTTCACAGAAAATGATGAAGTTTTTATGTTCTTCAAATCATTTTCTGAATTTCAATACTCTGATGAAGTTTTTATATCTTCAAATCAGAATAGTAAAATTCAGAAGGAGTAGAAAATCACACAGGTTTTAATCTCCACAAACAAAATACAGAATATAATAAAATAATTTCTTTAAGATTGTTATAAATCTATATTGCTGTAATAAACAATTAAATCATTAAACTTTCTGAAATATATAAACAAAATAGAAAGTTAGTAATACTTGTTTAACGAAATAAATTCTGGAAAAACAGTATAGGAATAAATCGAGCCCACTGAATACACAATGTGTCCTTAAGGAAATTAACCCCTCAAGTACCCGAGGTGCTGAAATATATCCTCCCAGGATAGAAGGATTTAACTCACTGGAGTGTTGGTACCAAAAAACGCCGGTGACAGCGAGCCACTCGAAGACTGTAAAATACACTGGAATTTTTTATGCAGAAGAAGAAGAAGAAGAAGATCAGAAAATTTCGTAAGGAAAGATTTTGGGATTCAAAGTATATTTATAGAGTTGCTGGCATTATTTCTGAAAAGGTTTGCAACCTCTCAGAAACAGCCATGGCTGTTGGAACCGGTTGTTTGAAATATTGCGGGAAAATGGATTTAAAATAATATGGGTTATTCCGGATTGAATTTTTCGTTAATTATTTAATTAATTAATTAATTAAATAATAAAAAGGAATTTTGTCCAAAAAGATTAATCAATCAATCGATCTTTGACCAAATCCAAATCCAAATCCGAAGCCGAGCCGAGCGACGACGACGACGACGTGAGGCTTGCCTTCTTCTTAACTCTTTAAGAGTTAGAGGAAGAGCAATTATATATATATCCATCAAAAATCTTTTCTTCCTCCAATATGGGACAATGTCCCTTTTCCAAGGAGGGAAACTCAAATATTTTATTTTTTCTCCATTTCTCATTCACCCTCTTTAAGCTACACAAGCTTAAAATCCCAACAATACGCACAATGCTCAATGACTTAAAATCTAAAGATGTCCATGTTTCAAACCAAACAACAGATCGACACATACAAGGCTATCCATATCAATTCAGAATTAAAACAAAAAATCGAATTCTCAGGCTCTTACAAATTGAATAAGATTCAAGCTCTTCAACACTTTAAAAAATGCTAAAATGTCGACTAGACTTCCTAAATTTTATTAAACCAATTCCATGTAGTTGCCCTCATGCTTCAATAATTTGACTAACTTATATCCATTATTTTCCACAAAGTATTAACAGAAAACTCATCACAACCTAAGATTATCCAGAGTTTATGAAAGAGTTAATGTTTCTTATCATTTAAAATTCAAATAATTACAGAGTTTTCATGTTTACCTGCTAGGCGGAGGAAATAGCTGAATTGAGCCAAATAAAGACTAGAAAACAGTAAGGATAAATCTCTGCAAAAATCCCAGCGAACAACAGCAATTCAGAAAGCAAATTCAGCTTTTGAAAAACCTAATAAAATAGTGATTTGAAAATCCACCGTGATCAATAATCTCCATTTTTCTAGGAAATTTTCTTTTGTGAGGCTTGATAATTGGATTTTCGATCTGGTTTTTCCGCTGTCTCCCTTCTAATGAGGATAAAAGTCCTATTTTGTTAACAACGAAAAATACAATGAAATCAATGGAGTTTGACCTAGGGTTTACTGTGTTTTAGAAGAGAGAGAAGAGAGAGTTTTATTAGAAACTTCAGAAAAAAATAAAAGTGAATCATCAGTTCAATACAATGTGTAACTAGGCCTATATAGTTGACTCGGAAGTCCAACTAAGCCCAAAATCACCGAGCTGAACAAAACAGAAAAATTAAATATATTTGGGCTCAGCCCAGTACAAATAAAAAGAGGATATTAAACCCATGACTAAGTAAATCCAACACCTCCCCCTCAAGTTGGAGGGGGAGAACACCCCCAACTTAGAAAGAAGATCATGATGAGCAACCCCAGCTAAAGCCTTTTGAAGATATCCGCGAGCTGAGTGGAGGAAGAAGTATGCAACAAATTAATGAGGCCCTCAGCAATCTTGGCTCGAACAAGATGACAAACCAACTTAATATGTTTAGTGCGCTCATAAAAAATAGAATTCTTTGCAATGTGAATGACAACCTGGCTGTCACAAAACAAGGGAACAGAAGAAGGACAACTGACTCCCAAATCCAAAACCAGCCTATGCAGCCAAGTAAGTTCACCAACAGCTTTACTCAAACACCTATACTCAGCCTCAGCAGAAGACATAAAACCACAATCTGCTTTTTAGACTTCCAGACAACCAGACTACCTCCCAACAATACACAAAAGCCAGTGACAGACCCCCTGGTTTCAGGGCAGGCAACCCAGTCACTGTCATAATAAGCAGCCACAGAAAGATCAAGAGAGTTGTTGAAAAAAACACCAAAATCAGCAGTACCCTTCAGGTATTTCAAGAGATGGAGAGTTGCCTCCAGATGGGGAAGGCAAGGAGACTGCATAAACTGAGATAAGTGCTGGACAGCAAAAGAGATGGCAGGCCTTGTATTAGTAAGAAAATTGAGATTGCCCACCAATGACCTGTAAACTTCAGGTTTAGAGAGATGAGTGCCCTCCTTGGCTTTAAGCTTAACATTCAAAGGGAGAGGACAGACCACAGAAGTAACATCTGAACAGTGAAACTCCATGAGAAGATCATGAATAAATTTCTTCTCATGTAAAAGAACCCTAGAATCTGAATATAACACCTCAATGCCTAGAAAGTAACTACGGGATCCAAGATCTTTGATCTTAAATTGAGCATCAAAGAAAGACTTCAAAGAAGAAATCTCAGCAGAATCAGTCCCTATGAGGATAATATCATCCACATAAACTGAAAGCACCACAATAAAGTCCCCAGAAACTCTAGTGAAGAGAGAGTAGTCATTAAGGGAATGATGGTAGCCTCTAGAAGAAAGAGCCTAGGAGAGCTTGGCATACCACTGGTTGGAGGCCTGCCTAAGCCCATAAAGGGACTTGTGAAGTCTGCATACCAACTAGCTAGAACTGGAGAGGGGAGTAACAGAGTAACCATGGGGCAGCCTCATGAACACCTCTTCATCAAGGTCACCATGCAAAAAAGCATTGTTGACATCAAGTTGGAAGAGGGGTCAATGCTTCTTGACAGCCACTGTCTTAACAATGGACATCTTAACCATAGGGGAGAAAGTCTCATGAAAATCAATCCCTTCAACTTGTGTATCACCCGTGATAACCAATCTAGCCTCATACCTTTCAACAGTACCATAAGCCCTATGTTTGATTTTGTACACCAACTTACAACCAATGGGCTTCTTACCAGGAGGCAAGTCAATAATGGACCAAGTGTCATTGGCCTATCTCATGGCATCCTGCCACTCAGGCACATAAGTAGTCTGAGAGTAGGAGGATGGATCAAACACATGAGGAACAGAGGTAGAAGGAGAGGAAGAAATATAAAGAGAAGAAGAAGAGGAACTTGGAAGCTGCCAAACATAATAAGAGAGATACCTAGGAGGATTATGGGACCTAGAAGGCTTTCTTAGAGGTACAACATCAGGAGGAGCAGAAACAGAAGAGGGGGGAACTGGAGAAGGAGGAACAGGTTCATAAATCTAAGAAGTGGAGCTAGGAGGTTCAGAGAAACAATCATCAGAAACAGAGAAAGAAGTAAAAGTATAAGGGGTAGGAAAAGCAAAGGAAGGAGTAAAAAAAGAAAAAATGTGTTCATGAAAAAGGACATCCCTGGAAACAAAAGATGACGTGGAGACAAGATTGTACAATTTATAAAATTTCTTAGCAAAAGGGTACCCCACAAAAACACAAGGCACATACCTAGGAGCAAATTTGTTCCTATGAACCTTAGGGACTGTGACATAACATAAACAACCAAAGGGCCTAAAATGAGAATAAGAAGGGGGCTTCGCATAGAGCAATTCAAAAGGAGTTTTATTCTTCAAGAGAGAGGTAGGGAATCTGTTAATGAGATAAGTGGCAGTGAGAATGTAATTCCCCCAAAAAGAAACAGGCAACTTGGACTGAAACAACAAGGCCCTAGCAGTTTCTAGCAAGTGTTTGTGTTTTTTTTCTACAATACCATTTTGTTGAGGAGTGTGGGGGCATGATGTCTAGTGAATGATCCCTTTTCAGAAAAATTTAGAACTAATGGAATTGGACCCCAATTCCCAAGCATTGTCACTCCTGATAGTCTGTACATGATAATGAAAATGAGTTTCTACCATGGCAATGAAACTCTTGAGGAGATCAAAAGCATTTATTTTGGCTCCTAAATGGTGAGTCCAGGTTGCCCTAGAGTAGTCATCTACAATGGTGAGGAAATATCTAGCACCATTAGAAGTAAGGGAGTGATAGGGGCCTCAGGTATCAATGTGGATCAACTGGAAGGGAGTTGTGGAATGAATTGTACTGTCAGAGAAGGGGAGTCTAGTTTGCCTAGCTAGGGGACACATTGAACAAGGAAAAAACTGCTTGCTAGAAAGAGAGAAATTGATAACAGATATATTCTTCATTTTATTAGAAGTAGCATGAGTAGAATTACAATTTGGAGCAGTAGAATCATTTGAAACATCACATACAACAGAAGTAGGAAAAGTAAGATCAACACTAGAAACACAATTTGAAGAGTTAAATGTAGAAATCTACAACTTGTATAAGCCATTGTCTAGTTTACCAAGAGCCGGTGGCTTCTTCACAGAAGGACCCTGTAAGACACATAAAGCCTTAGTAAACTGTGCAATCCCATAAAATTGACTGACCAACTGTTGGACTGAAAAGAGATTATATTGAAAACTAGGGACATAAAGCACATTATGCAGAGTGAAATTGGGGAACAAAGTTAGAGATCCACAGTTGTAGACCTTAACCTTGTATCTATTTGAAAGAGAAACAAGATAAGGAATGGCAAGAGGTTGTATATTAAAGAGAATATATTTAAGAGATGTCATATAATTAGATGCACCGGTATCTATTATCCAATCAGAAAGAGTGACTTGGGAAAACAAAGCAAGTTTAAGTTAAACACTGTGAGTGGCCACTCTACCAGCAAAGTGTGCTGAAGCTATGAGTGAAGTAGATGAATCAGGGTTGACATGAATCTGTTGTAGAAGATGAATTAACTGGGAGTACTGTGCCTTTGTCAAACCAGGAACCCTAACAGATTGTTTAGAACAGTTGAGAGGACCTACACCAGTAGTTGAATCAGAAGTACATTGCTGAGAAGAAAATGAATCAACTGCCACACGTGTTGAAGCCTTTTATGGTACCAGGATTCTTAGTGAATTTGAAACCTTGTGGCAAGCCATAGAGCTTATAACACTTCTCAATGCTGTGACCATACTTCTTACAATATTTGCAAATAATGGATGACTTCTGGGAATCAAAGCTCACCCTGGGAGCATATGGTTGTATAGAAACCCCAACATTGAAGGGGGCAGATTCTGAAGAGAAGTGAGACAGACATCTGCTTCTATTTCTCATTACTCAAAAGGATACTGTACACAGTGTCAATAGAAGGAAGAGGCTTTATCATGAGTATGTTGCTCCTAACTTGCACATATGTATCATTGAGACCCATAAGAAATTGATACACCCTTTATTCTGCTTCAGACTTGATACTACCACCACATGTACACCTATTATTTGAGCTAGCAGACAAAGAAGCAAGCTCATCCCAGAGCAGCATTAGCTTGTTGAAATATGCAGCTATGTCAAGAGAACCCTTAGAGATATGAGCTATCTATTTTTTCAATTCAAACACCCTTTCACCATCAGCTTGCCCATACCTAGCCTCAAGTTCCTTCCAGATGTCTGTTGCATACTCAGAATACACAACAGTGTCCTTAGTAACAGTGTTGGCAAGCCATGCAATAACCAGGTCATTGCATCTTTGCCATTGGCGAAGAAGAGAAAAACCTTCAGGAGGTCTCTCAGAAGTCCCATGAATAAAATTCAACTTATTCCTAACAGACAAAGCAACTAGGATGGACCTACGCCAACTTCCATAGCAAGAGCCATCAAAAGACTCAGTGACCAAAGAAGATCCTAACAAATCAGATGGATGCACATATAGGGGATAGCATGGGTGTGTGTAATCATCAGGTTGAAAAGGAAGACGAGAACTCGGAGTCCCATGGTCAAGGGAAGAGGTGTTATCAGAAGTAGACGAGGTCGAGGTTCCGGCTGTGATAGCCATTAATCAAAAACAAAACTTGAGAGAACAACTAATCCCACACAGATTTAAGCTTTAACCACAAAAGTAAAACAAAACCCTAAAACATGCAGTTGATATGAAGATGAGGAAAGAATGTATCAAAATCTTCGCGACTGGAAGAATACAGCCTTGTAAACAGCTCACACAAACAGTGAATCCGTTGAAACGGCGAAGAGGTCTCACAAATCAACAAAACCTAACCAAAATTGAGTGAACGAGATACTTGAAATTGAAGACGAAATCATCACAATCCAAGCTCCAAAACCTCAATCGAAGCAAGCGAGCTAAGATAGAAACCCTCAAAAGCGACCAACTCTTCATCACACAAAACATGACGATTGAATAAACCGACGGGGAAGAAGAAATCTCTGGTGAAACTCGTCGAGGTTACCATCGGAGGATAAAGAATCACGAGCATTACGGAATTCCTTGCTCTGATACCATGTTAACATCGGAAAATACAGTGAAATCAATGGAGTTCGGCTTAGGGTTTACTGTGTTTTAGAAAAGAGAGAGAAGAGAGTTTTATTAGAAACTTATGAAAAAAATGAAAGTAAATCATCCGTTCAATACAATGTGTAACTAGGCCTATATAGTTGACCCGGAAGTCCAACTAAGCCCAAAATTACTAAGCTGAACAAAATAGAAAAAATAAATACATTTAGGCTCAGCACAGTACAAATAAAAAGATGATATTAAACCGATGACTAAGTAATTCCAACATATTTATAGGTAAAAATTGCTAGGGCACTCTTCCTAATTTCCTTTTCCCTTACCTCTTTCACTTTTTTGTATTTTCTCTTTTAATCCTTTTTGTCCGACCCATTTCAACACCCTTTTTTTCTTTTTGCCTTGCATTGCTCATTAAACACCTATATCAAATCTAATTTATAAAATTAACCTATTCATTTGTTTTAATTTAAAATTAAGCTAATTAAAATATTAAATTAACTAATTGACTAACTAATTGAAACTACAAATGTAAAAAGAAAAGAAGAATAGCTAAAAGTAATTTGTGGGTTTTTGTATTTTTAACAATGCATCTAACATGCAGTTCTAAAGCTAAAAATGCAATGGGTGAAAGATCACAGAAATTATGGTTTAAAATGTTCCTAATAATACAATGATGCAAATGATCTAGAAACGTAATAAAAATGAAAGATAAAAAATATTTTTGATGTTTTCATGATTTAAAGTATTTCTAATTATGAAAAATGCAACTAAATACCATAAAATGCACACAACAAAATAGAGAGAGATCCTTAGAAATTCTATAAAAATCAAAGACAATTTGTGAATTTTTTAGGAGTAAACTATGCATAGGGCAAAAATTACGTGCTCACACCCACCATTTTGTCCATTTACACTAATACTAAATGAATAAATTACAAGTTGCTAATATGTGATTTATTTATCCAACTAATTGGCCACCGCCCACCAAGCCGGCGAGAAACTAGAAACTAGAAACTAAAGAAATAAATATCTCACGTTTTAAACATTATAGCTGCTAAAAATTTCAAGCAATACAACTTGTATTAAAGTAAACGATTGCTTATATGGTTATAAATAGTCAGAATATGTAACTAGCATTTGAAAGTATATCACTTGGATTGTTATGAAACTCCAGTTGCCGTCAGCCTCTTGGTATAATTTTCAAGGAGATACTTAAAGAATTTCTATGTATACAAATTTCGCGTTTACATTCATCAAACACATAGTGATTACTGATTAGTTGTATACGTTTCGATTAATGGATAGTTGACTTACTACTTACTGTATTCAGGAATAATCAAAATTTGTATAGACTTACTATATTCAAGATTAATTCAAATTTAGTAGAGAAGTAAAAAAGGAAGAAAATTTAACTTTGGGGATATAGACCATAGTGATTTGAGCTCGAAGAAAATTTTGTAATACATGAATTTTACGAATGGAAGCAGGCTTGCGAGATGGATCAAAATGGCAAAGCCCTTATTTATCATAGGACCTTAAGCCCTAGGGATCCTTGTATAAGTAAATTTAGCAACAATTAAACCCATTGCTAATTCAAGCCCAGCTATTGGGTTCAGACTCTCAAATGGTAAAGTATTCTACATTCTACATTAAACAGATATGCAGATTAGTACAAGGGATCCAAATCAGAAATGATTACCTACTACTACTATTACTAGGAATATCAAAATTGACTTCCTCTATCTAAAGGAAGGTGCTATTATAGATTCCAGCCACAGCCATATAATTCCAAATAGGGAGGTGGTGTTAGCTAGGCCAATCCTTGCAAAAGTACTTGAATCAGCTTTTGTACTAGTAGTTGCCCTAGTTGATGTTTTTCACTTAATTTTCCCTTGTATAATGTACTCGTATTCTAATTATTTATGCGTCTACATATTATCACTTATATTTGCCTATCACATTTTATGGACCAATTTCTGCCCACTAATTCATTACCGATCAGCAAGTGTCAAATGGAAATGTTGGTATCTTGACTTCATATCCCTTTTGACTAAACAGTTATATGAGTGGGACCTTCTTAGACAAGATGGGATTTATCTAAAATCTTAACTAACCTGGCTATTTCCCAGAACCTACTCAATTGTAAGAACTCAATAACTCCATATCTTGGCTGCCTGCCAGATATGAATAAAGATTCATTGTATTAGAATAATATTAGTAAAGAATAACCATGAACAATTGAATATGGTGGATGATTGATTCTATAATCTATTCCAACTCAACAATTCTTTTGTTCTCACCCTTCACCTCCATCACCAAAACCATGTACTATTATTATTCACCAAAATCCTAATCCTTTTTTGCCCTTTAACAACTCTGTCACCTTCGACCATGTTTCCCCTTCTTCATATCTTCCTCTTTCTCCACTTATCATTCCCTAGTTATGTATCATCCCAACAACCTAATACAACCCCATGTCCTCTCGATTTTAACGCACTTCGTAATTTGATAAACCAAAGTTCAAAACGCCCAAATTTGAACTCCACCACACACTGTCAATACATTCGTCAGGGCTTACGTCTTGTCCAATCTGAATATCTTCGCCGTACAAACTCTTTCTTTCCGCCACTCACATCCGCCGAATCTTGCTGGAACAGTTACCAGTTTTTGGTCAACGACTATGTACCCAACTTCGATATACGCAAATCTTGTGGTTTTCAAACTTCTTGGATCTCTCAGGGTTGTATGAATATCACTACTCGTTTCGAGTTCGAGTCTAATGTCTCTGTTTCAGCACTTTCCAACATGGTTTCTTCGTGTAATCAGTCCTTAGAGAATAATTCCNAAAAACCCGCTAGGCCCGCGAAGCCCACGAGCCCGGCCCGTTAAGCACAGGACCATGTGGGCTTAGGCCCGTCACGGGCCGGTTCCACCCATTAGGCCCACGAAGACCGGGACCGCCAGGCCCGGGACCGCCAGAGCCCGGGACCACGAAGCCCGGGACCGCGAGGCCCGGCCCGTTAGGCCCACTAAGGCCCGGGCCCGGGACAAAATACAGCCCTAGATGTTACTGCTACTGCTAGTTCAGGAAAAGGTAAAAAGAATGTGACTATTATTGTTGTGGTTCTAGTTTGTGGATTGGTTTTAGTGTTTGTGGGGTTTGTTTATTGGTTTTTGTGGCGGCGGAGGAAAAATAGATTGGCTCATAAGTGGAACAATAGGAGGATTGAGAGTAATTTGAGTTCTCGTTTGGATTCGATTAGTGGAAGTACTACTTTGATTAGGTTTACTATCGATGAAATTAAGATGGCAACGAAGAATTTTTCGAGGGTGAATATAATTGGGACAGGAGGATATGGAAATGTGTACAAAGGTGTGTTGCCTGGTGGGGTTGAAGTAGCTTTGAAAAGATTCAAGAATTGTTCAGTTGCTGGGGATGCAAGTTTCACACATGAAGTTGAGGTTATTGCTAGTGTTAGGCATGTTAATTTGGTAGCTTTGAGAGGATATTGCACTGCTACAACTCCTTATGAGGGTCACCAGAGGATTATTGTTTGTGATTTGATGAAGAATGGGAGTCTACATGATCACTTATTCGGGACGCGATATGAGAAATTAAGTTGGGGTATTAGGCAGAAAGTTGCACTTGGTACTGCTAGAGGTTTGGCTTACTTGCATTATGGAGCACAACCGGGTATTATTCATAGGGATATTAAAGCTAGTAATATTCTTTTAGATGAGAGTTTTGAGCCTAAGGTGGCGGATTTTGGATTAGCAAAGTTCACTCCTGAGGGAATGACGCATTTGAGCACTCGCGTAGCAGGGACGATGGGATATGTAGCACCCGAGTATGCTTTATATGGCCAGTTGACAGAGAGGAGCGACGTTTATAGCTTTGGGGTTGTGCTTCTTGAGCTTTTAAGTGGCAAGAAAGCAATAATAGAGTTTAATGATGGGCAGCCGACGCTTGTGACTGATTGGGCATGGTCATTAGTTAGGGAAGGTAGATCATTAGATGTTCTTGAAGACAATATTCCGGATTTAGGCCCTCCAGAAGTTGTGGAGAAGTATGTATTAGTAGCTGTTCTTTGTTCCCACCCACAATTGTACGCGAGGCCAACAATGGACCAGGTTGTTAACATGTTGGACGCGGATATACCTGTTCCAAATATACCAGAGAGACCAATTTCTCTCATTGCGGATCTTGATGACATTGAAAGGTCTGTTAGCAGTAGTTTTTCTGGTAATCTGTCCACTGCTGCAGGCTATCAGCCATACATAATTGAGCGCGAGACACCCCTAGCAGATAGTGATTCTGTCAAGGACAGATCATTGGATAAAAGATTGTGATAGAGATAGATGCAAAGTATCAGTTTGAACTTTCTACTTGATAGAATTTCGAGGAGTTGTGATGAATAGCTCATTCGTTTCTAATATAGGAACCAGAACTACTAACATAAATTGTACAGTGACTATGTATGTATACTCAACTTTTGATTCTTGTGTAATAGTTTGGAGGAATAAAGCATGATGTTTTGAAGGCAACTGCTCTTTCCATGTCCTTTGCTAAATGTACTAACGGATCCTATTACAACAACGCATTTGACTATCCTGATGGAGGAAGAATCCTAATATACTACTTATTAAAGTTACTGATCGAATGTCTCTAGGCATGAAAGATGACCAATCCTAATAGCTTATGTTACTATTAGAAGATCTCTAAATTTAGTAAGTGAGATCAAACACTTAATGTTCATAATAAGGGAGTTTCTCATTAAAACTGAACTATCATCGAAATCCTAGTAGGACGCTTTGACATTACGCACAAACACTTTATGTTCTATGAGTCCTGTGAGCTGAATATCTACAAAAAGCCTAATGATTGGAAATCAAATCAATAAATACTAAAAAAATTAGTAGTCGCCCAATTTTTGGCATTATGAAGTCAAAGGTATAGTTTGATCTTTTCCTCTTGTCATTAAATCATAAAGCTGCTTTGTCCCACTCGGTGTCAATATTCAAGGAGTTTTCCTGTCTGTCTGTCTGTGTTTTCCTTTTCCCTTCTCTTTTTTGCTCTGCTCCTTTAATTTTTATACACATTTTCTGTTTAAAACTTTAAATTAGTGCAATTTGCTCATGTGTTTTAATTTAGATCTTACATCGGGGTGGTAAATGATGGCAAATTTACCCCCTTATTGCTATATATGAATTAGAAGCAATAATTTAGGTCTCTTTCCAAGATTACTTAGTAGGCGTTTGGGCATAAAAATGATAATTTTTGAAAAAAGTAATATTTGGAGTTAAGTTGAAAAATGGTGTTTGGAATTTGAAATTATGTTTAGACATGCATTTCATTTGAAAAAATATTGCAGTTTTGTGAGTGGAACTTTTTTTTTTTTTTTTTTCTGAAAATGTTGAAAAAGTGGTCGTTTTGAAAAACTCATTTTTAAAAAAATTTCAAAAACTTGCAAAATTTCATGGATAAACACATTGTTGAAGGAAATTTTTTTTTATGGACAAAGAGGGCCTTATTTGTCAAAGCAAAACAAGGAATATAAAGAAAATAAAAGAAGGAACCTCTAAAGTTTATCATGATGAGTTACCAAAAGAAAAAAAGTTTATCATGATGCTACAATATAAGACAACAAAGTTCAACAGCTTTTTCCTTCTTTTATTTGAGTGAAAGATTGATCCTGAGAAGAACTTGGTATCTTATCGTAAAACATCTTTTTATGTAAACGATGGCTATTTTTGTCAAGCTGAGGAATTCTTTTATTTTTCCAGAGATATTGATGGGGATAGTAAGATTTAGAAAAAGGATAAGGTAATTAAGTGCTTATTTTTAGAGCACATAATAATGTAACACATGCATAACTGGAAAAATGCACGAAGGATATACTAAAAAGTTACCTTTTTTTTGAGAAATTTTTAGAAACACTATTGTTTAGTGGCTATTAACTTGTTATAGCTATCATTTACTTAATTACTTCATATAACTATCTTTTCACTTGTTATAGAGTGTATTCGATGTATTCATGAATACAGTAGCAAAACTCGGCGGAAAACAGGGAAGTCCAGCTAGCATAGACTGTACTCATATATATTCGCGAGTTGTATTCGTGAATACAGTAACGGAAATCTGCGAAAATAAAGGTCTCTCCAGCTGTTTAAAAACGGTAAGTGAATCAATTAACGTGATAGACTCCTAATATAACTCAACAAACTCAATTATACTTATTACAGTGACTTTTGACTGTTGTATTTAGATGTATTTTATTTCATTCAACAACTTTTTAAAATACACTAGTTGTTCTAGTTTTAGTTATGTATTCCAACTAAGTGTTTTCATCTGTATTCTCAAGCTAACTGTATTCTGCTGTGTATTTGCTGCTGAACCTGCAAATACATGTTCCGCTTGAGTGATTTGCAAATCGAAAGATGCCCTTCGAAATTGAGTGCTTTGTTGGGTATACCTCGGGTAACCCTCTTTAGAGTTGTTGAATCAGCCATTGGAGATGAAATTTTGAGTTTTCTGGTGAAAGTATAACAATGGTGATTATTTATAAAAAAAATTAGTAAATAGAAATAGAAGAAGCGCAGTACCAGCGAAAATCTCACAACTTTAACACTTACCACAACTTTTTGGAGCAAAAAATATTGAAAATGAGAGACAATGGAGATGAATCAGTGGAGAATCATGGATATAAAATGGGGAAGAGACTGGCGTTGTGAGAGAGATAGTGAAGAGAGAAGTTGGATACTATACGGTGATTAATGTCGCCCAAACTCACACCACAAATATAGGTAGTGAGGCGGTCGAAGCAATAATAAAACCCAATGCAAGTCGGAGTCTGATAGCATCAAGGACAAGGATAGAGTTTTGGAAGCTCCAAGGCCATTTACAAGATCTCAAGCTAAAGAGTTGCAGACTAATGTTGCTGGACTTCAATGGCAAATAAAGAAGCTTTTAATTGTAGAGGAAGAGCTCAAGCCCAAAGTAGATGAATTATCCAAATTTTACTTTTACAATTATTTGGTGATCCAAATTGAAGTCCAAGAGGAGGAAGATTGGCCCACCAAATCAGCCCTTGAAATCCACCAAAGGGCTCAAAATGAGCTTAAAAGAGGTCCAAAAGTAGGTGTTTCATAAGGAGCCCAATTGGAGTCCAAATCAATTGCCCCAACTGGTAGTTTTAAGGTCCAAATCTGCCCCAAAGGGATTTGGCCGCTCCCACCTAATTTTAATGACTTTTCTTACTCCTTAGCAACCACTCTACCTAATTGTAATGATATTTTATGCCTTAACAGCCACCCTACCTAATTTTAAGGATTTTTTTATGCCTTAATACTCCTATAAATAAGGAGTCCTTCTCATTCATTGAGAGACTTCATTATTGATTAAGTATATCATACTTTGAGAGTTCTTTTGAACTTTTGTTACTTGTGCTTTGAGATTTATCTTTCAACCTTTACTAGTTCATAGTTCAAGGTAGTAAGATTACTTCTCTATGGTGATATCTTTGATTCCTTTGTGGTATTCTTAGAAGGCGATTAATACTAATTATTAATTATTGTCTCAAGTTACTCGTAAAGCGGTCAAGATCCGAATATATTGTTTTGATTTACTTTTAAGTAAAAGCGTTTGATTTCTTCAATAAATCAATACGTTGTTACTTTGATCTTGTCAAGGCTATAGAACTTGCGTTCTTGGAAGTTCTTAGAATTCTTTCCTTGAATTTTCCCATATCCTTTATTTTCTGCCCTTTAGCTCTAGTTGTTCAATTCGTTATTGTTATTGCTTCCGCATTTACTTTTAAAAATCTTACTCTAGTTTGGATTCCCGACCTAGTCGTTATCAAGTGGTATCAGAGCAGTTCTATCAAGGTTTCGTTCTTGATAATTTTGGGGATTTCTTGAATATTAAGAGCGAAAAAAATAAGTTAAAAAAAAGGAAAATCAATTTTAAAAAAAATATTGCTTGCTCTCGAGGAAATTTATTTTGTATCTAATTTGTTTCCAAAAACTATCAAAGGAAACAAGAAGAAGGGATCCCAAATTTCAAAGATAAGACAAAAATTCAATTTTTTCTTACTCTTTCTAATCTAAATATATATTCCTTTCCTTTTTGTTCGTGTTTTGTTTCAACCGAGCCTAATAGTTCTAGGATTTGGTTCTTCTTTCATTTGTTCCCCAAAAATCTATATTTTACTACTAAGAACTTTATATGAGTTGGGTTTAACTATAAATCTACAAAGTATTTTGTTCAAAGGTTATTTCGAGAGAGAAAAAAGGCAAAGTGTGTGTGAGAACAATTGAGGAAAAAGTCAATTTGTCTGATACAGTTTAATTATTTAAGATGTCACGTACAGGTAGTGATGATGAACGAAGGGTTATTCAAGAAGTCGAAATCAAAGCAAGAAATAATTTTACCTTGCGAGCTATGTATCAACAATTCGAAAGGTGGAATTCGCAACTTCAAGAGATGAGGGACACTATTGCTGAGCAAAATGATACAATAGCTGAACTTAGAAGGGAAAATAATGTTAGGCCCCAAGCTAGGAGAAATGTACCCCTTGATCCCATTGTAAATCAAGAAAACCATATAAATAATTTTAATGATATTGATTTTGATAGGGTGAGAAGAGATAGGAGGGGACAAAGAGGTAGAGTAGAAGATGATAATATAAATAGTATAAAGATGAATATGCCATCTTTCAAGGGAACAAGGGATCCAGACTTGTACCTTGACTGAGAGAGAAAGGTTGAAGCCATCTTTGACTGTCACAACTACTCTGAGGGTAAGAAGGTTAAACTTGCTATTGTTGAGTTTTCTGACTATGCTGCTATTTGGTGAAAAAAGCTTACTAGGGACAGATTGCAATAAGGACAAGTACCAATTGCTACTTGGGCTGAGATGAAGAGGGTGATGAGGAAGAGATTCGTACCATCACACTTTCAAAGGGAGCTACAACAATGTCTTCAAACATTGAGGCAAGGGTCCATGTCTGTGAATGAGTACTTTAAGGCTATGGATATGGCTATGATCCAAGCTAATTGTATGGAGGAAGAAGATGCTACAATGGCTAGGTTTTTAAATGGTTTAAATAAGAAAATCGCTGATGTAGTAGAATTACAACAATATGTAACAATAGATGAGTTAGTTGATTTGTCTGTAAATATAGAAAATCAAAATAAAAGAAAGAAAACTAGTTCGTGGAAAGGTCGGTCAAACACCATCTCCAAGAAGCCATGGCCGAATCAAGAGATGAAGAGTTCTTCTAGACCTCAAGAAGACAAGGATAAAGGTAAATTTGAGAACAAAGAGGGAGGTAAAACCTTTAACCCTAAACCTTTTGCACCTTCTAATTCTATTCAGTGTCATAAATGTAAAGGAAGGGGACATATGATGCATGAATGTCCAAGTAGAAGAAACATCATTCTTAGAGAAGATGGAGGATATGAGAGTGAAAACAATGAGGGAGAAGAAGAGGGAGATGTTAGTAATGATGATGATATAGAACTACCTAATGATGGCATGAT